GCAGACTCAAAGGAGCATGCTGGCTTCTGTACAGTACATACTCTGCTGGCACATGAAAAAGAAGTTCATTTCCAGAGTGTAGTGTTTCCAACAGTTAAAGAGGTATATGCATCTTTGAGGTCCAGTGTGTAGGATTTAGGGGCATCTGCAGGGGCCATAACACACCAAATTCCCATCAAAGAACTAGCAGCGATGAAAGCTGACTGTGTTGCCTAATGTTGACATGTCTCAGCCAGAAAGTTGTACATAAACACACTCAAAGACTATAGCCATCAGCCAACCAGCATGTACATTATGTGCCTGTGCAAGAGGAAATAACTCTCATCATCAGCAGACAGCATTAGTCTGTAATTATCATTCAAAAAGGGAAACTGGAAGATGTCTTGATGCTAGTTAGCCAGTTAGCACTTAACAACACAACCCAGTGCTGAAAGAACAGAGCATATTTTCCATGTGGCAGCGAACAATAACACAAACCATCAGGAAACGTTTCTGCTAAAGAGCTAAATGGCCAAAGAAAAATAATCTTACCTCATATGACAAATTTGTTTGGGTCTCACTGCCTCATTACTTTAGCTCTTTGTTTACTTTCCTCACTTCTATTTCTCTTCTTGTGGGCTGAACTGAGCTGACAATCAGAGTGATTTCACTCACTGACAGGCTCCCTCATCACCAATGCCAATTCAACACACTGAATCGGCTGGAAAAAAAAGTCAATGAGGTCCAACGATGCAGGACACACCTCAAAGACTAGGGCGTCAGACGCTCAGTGATGGCTCAAAATTAACTGACGGCCAATCATTGGCTTGGTGTGTTAGGGCCTTTGCTGTGTTAGCACATGGGTGAAATTCTGCAGGCTCACCACTAGATGCCACTAAATCCTACAGACTGGGCTTTTCAGTAAAAGTGCAAACAACAAAGTAAAAATACTCAAGTAAAAGCCCTGCATTTATAACCCTACTGCAGAGAAGTAGTCTCACGTAGCCCTTTCTCACACTGTGCAATCACTGGGGAATAGCCTTGCTGTGCTCATCATAATCCCACACAGTGGTTGAAAAACACTCTCGGTTGTTAGTACTTCTTTCTGTCTTTAAACCTACGACACAATTGTCCTATGTAGCGCTAAGCCCAGGATGCAGCAAGGGTGCCCTTGCAAAAGAGGCATGTATAGCTGCAGACACATTCCGTTTGAAGCCTGCAAGACACGCTCCTCAAACTGCGGCCACCTCCGGTACATGACAAACCCTGCTACAATACAACGTGGTATATTCCACTTTATAATCGACTTTATTCATTTACTTTTTTCATTATACATAATTCACTTTATAGTAACAGATGTAACCCCTAACCCTAACCGCCTCTCTTTTAACCTCACTTAACATTTTATTCAGGGTTTTTGTTTCCTAGGCTAAGGGGCGAAGTGGGTTGATCATGTAGGTATGATGAGTGAATCATGTAGCTACTGCGTGGATCTCGTAGCTGCTCCAGCGGCAATTACTTACTCATCACAAAATAGTGTCGGGAGGGAACTTGCTTTGGTGGAACATTTTGCATATGGGGAGGCGAGCATAAAAATGGCTGAATACCCACAAAAGTTAGCACCACCATTTTCAACAAAGTGGTTGAAGGAATAAAAAGAGGGAGGCTGTGTTCACACGGTCCAACGAGTTTCCAACCACCAGTAAGAAACTTCGTATTTTGATGCAAAGAAGCAAAACGACAAGCGGCTCCAGCTCTTACTGCTGTTGTACGACTCTACAGACAGTTAGCTAGTTTAGTCCAGTGTGTGTGTGTGTGTGTGTGTGTGT